GAGGGCAAGGTGTTCCATTGGTTGATTGTTCTCACTGTCAGAAAGTTTTTCCTTATTTCCAGGTTAAATCTCTCCTTGTTCAGTTTCCATCCATTATTCCTTGGGGTGCTTTAGAAAATAGCTTGAATCCTTCCTCTCTGTGGCAGCCTCTCAAATATTGGAACACTGCTATTATGTCTCCCCTGGTCCTTCTCATCACCAGACTAGCCAAGCCTAGTCACTAGACTAGCCAAGCTCACCAGACTAGCCAAGCCCTATTGCACCGTATGAACCTAGTGCACTTACCAAGGAAAGGGAACAAATGTAGTCCCTAAACTTATTGGTATCTGATGTAATGAAAGCTGGGCAGTTAAAGAGAAAATATAAATATCATTATTAGTAGGACAGTGAAACATTTCAAGCCAGCCTCATACAACAGAAGAGCTCTGTTGACTTTCCCGGTTCCATGCACAGACAATATTTGGACTAAAGCTTCATCTGATGCAAATTATGCATGGACCCAGATGTGAAAACAACTGGGAAAGCCCATGTCACAACTATGCCATTGTTCCAGAAACTGAAGCTACTCATTGCTTCAAGGAGGAGTGCTTTGCTTGAACTAATGTCTTTTCTGAAGCCACCCTTTAAATGCACAAACAGTCTATGCATAAGCCATTCAAATATGTGCTAGAGCATGCTATTCATCCACATAGAATATTTGCTTTTTAACAAGATTAATCACTCTCAATATATTTCTAATATAAAGTCAGAATCTGCACTATGCTGATAGATGCTATCTAACCCATGTGATGGGCAGATTAAGGACACAAGAACTGCACAGATTTCAGTAAGATATATTTAATCTTGGAAATAAAGAATCTTGGAAACTTGGAAAGAATAATTTCTCATCCTGATTTCTGTGCATAAATATGTTTGAAATACTTCTTCCCACATTTCTTACCATATGAGCTAAGATGATGTTTAAAAGTAAGCTTCCAACCAAGGTGCTTCTGCTTCTTAATCATTTATGTCTATTTTGCTACCTTTCCTTTACCAATTTTCTCACAATTTCTTGTTGGTAGTCTAGTGCAAAGCAGCCACTCTGCTGCTACCAATAATCCCTTCCGTAAGACAAAATATTTATCTCTAATTCATGCACTTTAGCAGCATGTTTTAGCTAAGTAATATCTTTGTCTACTTCTGCATAGGGTATATCCAGGGGTGGGATTCTACCAGTTGGAAAACTGCATCACACCACCCAGTCACTCCTTATCTGGAATGTCCGCCATCCAACTTGCCTGGATTTTACATTCGCCTAATTTTTGGTAAGTTGCTACCTTTCCTTTTTTTTCACCGACGATCAGCTATTTCAACTATCAGCTCTGCCGGGTGATTTAGATTAGCTAGAAAGCAGGAAATGGTTGGATGTCTTGCTTTCTAGCTAATCTAAATCGCTGTTGTAGTGCTTCACCTTCGCCCAGGAGGCTTCTCTGAGGCCCAGTCAGGGGTGGTATTCAGTGGGTGGGGGTGGGGGACAAGTGGCCTGAGAGCAGAGGTGAAGCTTCCTTAGGACTGAAGCTTTTTTTTTTTCAGGGCAGACTCAGGCAGCAGATTGCAGAAAGGTAGATCTGGGAGTGAATCTGTGATTCTGCAAGCAACTCAATCTGCCTGATTTTGGGTAAAAGTTGCTTTTTCAATAATAAAGTTTAATATTTACATACATGGTGTGCTGTGAGTTAATTTTGTGAGTTTCCTTGCTTAGCAAATTTTATGAGCTTGCTTGCAAGCAAATTTTAGGTGACAGACTCAGGCAGCAGATTGCAGAAAGGTAGCTCTGTGAGCGAATCTGTGATTTTGTGAGCAACTCAATCTGCCTGCCTGCTTTGCCTGATTTTGGGTAAAAATTGCTCTTTTTATAAAAAAAAATGATATTTACATAAATATTTACATAAAAGCCATGCCCAGCCTATCACGTGACCACCGAGCCATGCCCAGTCGGCAAGCCACTCCCACCCAGTCACATGACCACCAAGCCACACTCACGAATTAGGCCACGCCCACATAACCAGTTGTTAAAAAATCTGAATTTCACCCCCTGGGTATATCGTTGTGAAATTGGATGTCTATTACTCTAAACATTATTTTCAGGAATAAACATGAAAACTCTATACAGAGTGTTGAGCAAGAAGATCGAGAGTTAAATTTTAGTCAGCTTAACTGCCCATTTCATTACTTTTATATTCAGGAAGATCTAAGACAATGAGATTTTCAGTCTAGGTCCATTGTATACATGGCACCTATGTATATTTAATCTGGATGTTATAGTATTTTTATCATTTTAATATGTTTTACTATATCTATCTATCTATCACCACCTTGATTCATTTACTGAGATGGGTGGCTATAGAAATTGAATTAATTGATTGATTAATTAATTTTCTTTAAAATCCACACTGCCAAATTCTACAAGTTTTATCTAAAACTAATGATCCTTTGAACTTGGGTGCATTGGACAGAGATAATGCATAATGTTAAAAAGAGCTTAAAGGTAAGAATTTATTCAATTATACAACAGACTACCTTGCCTTGGAAGTTTGTAGGATTTTTTTAAAAAGCTGCTAAGCAATTCAGAGATTGATGGATTGCCTCCTGATTGGAGAAGAATGCCAATGCACTACCTAGTGGTAGGTTAGATAATCTTCCTATACTGTAATTCTACTGGATTCATGTTATCTTAAAAGTACTGAGATTTTAACATGAGAAAGCTGAAGACCTAGTAGATATGATTATCCTGAGATCAATGAGATAGTTAGCAAATCTAGAGGCCACAATGATTTACACTATTTATCACAACAATTTATTGATGGAATAGTGACTGGGCACAGAATTGTCATTTTAGTTTTATATTTAATAATTTTGAATAATAAAAGTGCTAATTCCCACACAAAACATGTGACTGCTGATTCACACCAGATTAACTAGAATTGCCCAACTGCTTTTCTAATTTGTCAGTTCTGATGTAGTCCACTGCATTTACTTTTGACTACAAAATAAAAGTAACAGAAAATCATCTTAATCTCAAAATTAGATTATACAATGCTCTCTTGGCTTGTCATGTTTTAAATGCTGTTATGCCCCCCCCTCTTTACAATTAATTTAATTGTATTTTGACTTTGACTTTTAGTTAGTCTTGACTGCTGGCAACTGCAAAGACAAGGCAACATTTTCAGAAACACATTCTTTGTTGAGGGAAAATGACTGGTCCAAAATCACCTTCTTGGCTTTGTTACCCAGACAGGATTAGAACTCTGCCCCTCTAAATCTTGTGCTTAATTCTTAGCCCAAATGGCTCTTGTTTTTGTGAATTCAAATATATAAAGAATAAAAATATAATCCAAACAATGATGTAAGTTACATTCTCTAAAATTGCTCCAGTGTATTTAAAAGTCACAGTAAATATTTCTTTCTTATTCAGCCTTAAAATTAATATCCCAGAATAAAAGAGAAACTATTGAAAAATTGCAACCAAAAGGTTTCTAATCCTCAAATACGTTTTTAAGTTCATTATAAAGTACCATAAATGTCTTCCCTAGAAATAAATATTATGGCTTGTTCATGACCTGTGCAAATTAGCCAAATCTGAACTTGCTGTACATGGCTCATGAAATCTCTTCTCCCATCTCTATTTTTAACACTGCCGTCAGTGATTATAAGCATTTAAAGGCTGATTAGCTTTGCTGAAAACAAAATGCTAACATAAGAAATATAAGCTGCTCTTCTTATAGTAAAAACGCATGCAAGACATAGTAATCTTAATTAACATTTTAGATAAGATTTTGAGGAGAGCGTTTCTATACCCTAACATTTAAACAGTAGCATGAAATAAGACTACAGGACCACTGTTAGTTTGAAAATGTAACCCTAATTTTAATGAAGTAAGGCCTACTTATACATCAACCAATCTTGTTCTCATTTACTATGCATAATACAAAAGCCTGTTATACAACATATCGACTAGATGCAAGGAAATGAACCTATTTGTAGGGTATACCTTGAGATGATATGTCTATATACAGTATGTTCATAGACACCTTTCATTAATAATGAATGAGGACATAGTTATATTTAGCCCTGTACTGATCTTTTGATTTGTATCTTTAGCCCACAACTATTTTAATTACTAAGGATTTGCTACAAAATACTGCAAATTATTAGGATTATTGGATTATGGATTATGGATTAACCATGTGCTTTCACAGCAATTTCATTGATTACATGAATACACTTGTATATCACCAAGAAAACTCTCAGTGGACAGATGAAAAATATCTTAAAGACTGGAGCTTGATACACTTGAATCCAGTAACTCTACTAAATATAATGAAACTTAAATATGATTTTAAAAAAGTATAATTCGCTGTTGTTTCTTTTAATTCTAGCAGCAGCAAAGTAAATGAAAATAATATGCTTTTTCTGTTATTGCTTTTTGATCATTGTAAAAGAGTATGTGAACTGTACATGGAAATCATAGTTACTTCCCATTAACACACTCTATATAGCCCATGAAAAACAATATGGCTAACTTCAAGCAATAAATCAGGGCAGAGCCCTCTAGCCACCTATCAAATAAACACCTACAATATTGCCATCACACCACCCAATAGACTTTCAGCAGTTATAAATTCTTTCCATCAATCTAATTAGCAATAGATCAGTATAAAATCTTAACAAATACCCAAGAGCCTACTTGATTCAGGCTGTGAGAATGGAGAGTTCAAGAACTTTTATCAGAACAAAATTCAAAAACAGTAAGTTTTAAAAGTTAAAGTCCCCTTCAAGTCATGCTCAAGTTCTTGCACTTTTCTTGAAAACAGTACGGATGTGATTTGCTATATTCTCTTTTTCCCAGTTTAGCCACACTTTAATTCTTGAGCCAAGACAAAGTCAGGCTACTACTTGCCAGATTAACAAAACCAACCAAAAAGAAAATAAGTTGAACAAAGTGCATGTTCAACAGTTACCTGTACATTTCTTTATGTTGCTATTCCTCTTTCCATGAGAGCCCAGCTTGCATCCAAAATTTTCCTCCCAAAATTCTGCAAACCACACATTCCTTCTGTTATTTGCTAGGGTTCGACTTCTAAAATATCTATCAAAACCTGAATTGAAAATACAGATATACATACATGAAGATCAGAACAGAGTGCTAAGGTATTTGGCCTTATATGTTATGGCTCTTTTTGTATTTTAATTGCCCTACTAGTGATTTGTAACATCTTATAGCATTACCCACTCAACACTAAAGCAATTTAAAGCCTATCTTTATTACTGTTACATTAATACAATGCAGAATTTGGGAAGCATCCTAAAAAAATAATGTGTCCAATTGCTTGAACAGATTGCTGAAGAAAAGTATCCTTGCTCAATCATAAAGTAGCTTATTTTCATTCATGAAATATCATGTTCCAGGTATAAACTAAGACCAACAAGAGTATGCAGCAAATAAGTAGGAGCATTCTTTTAAAACCTTACTTTTTATTTGGTTTCCTATGTGTATATTTATGAAATGACTGAAGATTGCTACTATTCATCATCATAACTATAATAAATTGATTCAGCAGTTCAGAGAGGCATTAAGGTATTTTTATGAGTTCTCTGACTCGATATTTTTTGCGAATGGCAGTTTTCATCCTGCTCTATTTCACCTTTATCTCATTTTGCTGTTACCTCATGTTACATACAAGAAATCTTAGAAAGCCTTACTCATTACTTAATGAAGCTGAAATTCTGAAAAATAGTTATCTCAAGTATATATGCAACAAGTTAACAGTTTTCATGTTGTACAGTATTATTCAACTCTGAGTGGTACCTGCTGACTCCCAAAGACATCAAATTATAGATCCTTCTTTTCTTAATTAAACAGCCATGACTGAATATGGAACCTTTTTTCTACATTTATTATGTCATTTACCCATAATCCTATAGCTCTTAGATGCAATCAGCTGTAAATGTGATTCTAAATATTGTGCCAGTGACTATTGTATATTGGCAACTGAGGAAAAAAGCTGAACTGACAATGGGCAGAGCATGTAATTTCCTGATATAAAGACAATTAGCTGATATTAATAAATGGAACCTATTGCATATTTAACTAGGTGATAGATTTTCTATCAATCATACTACTAATGTAGTATTTAGGAAATTAATTTAAACATTAACTAGAACCATTGAGCATAGAATCTATTTTCACCAACTAGATAATGTCAATAAACTGATATATGAAATAAGTAAAAGAAACTTTGAACACCGAGCTTTGGTCCCAGGTCTGGGCTTAATTTTTATCATTTATATATTGTTTTGTGTTTATTGGATTATTTTAGTGTAGGCCATGTATCTCATTCTATGTTTCCAGCTGTTTTTATGATGGTTTTTTTTAGTTTTATACACCATCCAAAGTTGAGTGGCCAATAAATTTAAATAAACAAATAAGCAAACAAATAAATAAATAGGGTACAAATAGCAATGGCACAAAATGATGTTATTGTTGTACAAGAAACCTTTAGTTTAGAATTTCTTCAGTATAAATCAATTGAATTGTTTACGTAATATGTTATTCTCAGAATGGTCATAAATTGGATGTACAATACAGGTAATCCTCATTTGACTCCACTGATTCAGCACCGAACAAGGGGTAGTTACAAGCTGTTCTTATAGTTACGACTGTCAGGGCATTCCCACAGTCATGAAAAGTCATTTGTGACTTTTCCCCCTGGCTCCCAACAGACTCAATGTGGAAGTTGGCAGGAGGCTGAAAATGCCAATCACATGATCACAGGTCTCTATGACTGCATGGGAGTTGGCTAGTCATAGTAACAAATCATATTGCACTTTACAACCTTGTCACTTAGCAGTGAAATTTCCAGCCCAAATTATTGTTGATTTCCCCCCTCCCCTCCTTTTTTTTTTTTTAGGCCAAAGAATTTGAAAGTATATAAATAAACTTTGTAAATAAAAATGGTGACAGTGTAGAAAAATTACTAGGTACAAATAGAAATACAAGTTATTTCCATAGCAAGAAAGATAAGGCAGGCATGCTTAATGTGTTTACTTTATTTAAAGAGGGAAATATGTTCTTATTTGGAGATCACTTCTGGAATTTGTGCTTGCAAAGAAAAAAGAATGAAATTTTGATCTTGGTTTTGTTGATTAGAAAGATTTGGTGTTACAGAAATGGCTAGTTATATATTAATGTGTAAATGCAAAAAGTTGAGGCTGGAGAGTGTTTATCTTGTACTGAACTAGGGAGAATTAACAGATAATCAGGGTTGGAAGGGACCTTGTAGGTTATCTTGTCCAATCCCCCCACCCAAGCGGGAGACCCTACACCATTTCTGACAAATGGCAGTCCAATCTCTTCTTGAAAGTCTCAAGTGATGGTGCTCCCACAACTTCCGAGGGAAAGCTGTTCCATTGGTTGATTGTTCTCACTGTCAGAAAGTTTTCCCTTATTTCCAGGTTAAATCTCTCCTTGTTCAGTTTCCATCCATTATTCCTTGTCTGGCCTACAGATGCTTAAGAAAATAGCTTGACCCCTTCCTCTCTGTTGGAATTTAATGCTCCCTTTTCTTTCTTTCTCTCTTTCCCTTTGTATTCCACACCCCCTTTTCCTATTCCATTTCCCACCCTTAATTTCTTAAATTTCTTTTTTTTTTTTTTGGTATTTTATATTTTATATAATAAAACAAATTATTGTTGGCACTCAAGGACTACCTGTAAAATACTGCTTCATAGAGTGGGCTTGAAACCTTTACTTGATAATTATGAGTATGGGAACCAAACAATAGTGCACCTACAGAAGATAGAATGAAAATGCCATTTAAAGTTATTTGCTGTCATCATAAGAAAACCATGGAATAGTTTCATGAATGCATGATGTACCAGAGTTACACAAATATATAGTAGGGGCTCATCCTACTAAAGTCTTATTACACAGTCTTACCATCAATAGAAGCTCTTTTGGGCAAGATGGTGACAGCCCCTTCTGCTATTCCTTCTTGCTGATAAACAGGTGAAATTTTAGAACCCCAACTGTCTGAGCCAATCCAAAGAAAATGTCCAGTTTGATTCAATTTCTTAGCAGCTTCCAGTATTCGCCTGTAAACAATATTTTAAAAAACAGTTATTTTAAGCCAACTTTTATAAAGGTTCCTCCTCAAGAGTCATAAAACTAGTTGGTTTTGTCAAATCATCAAACGTTTTAAAGAAACATATTGGGGTGCTTTTTGGACAAAAAAAAAGAGTATAGAAAAAATGTTTATTTATTTGTAACATTTAATTATTTATTTACATTATCATATTTCTATGCAATCAAAGCAATTCTCAGCCACTTATGCAGAACAATTACAATATAAAGCTTACACAATACAATACTTAGAAGTATCATGGCAATGAAGCAAATGACATAAAAAAGGCTGACTGCTTTTTCATGTTTCTGTATGCCTCTTTCAGCTGCCTTCTCTATCAGTTCCAAACCAATATCTTCTCTTTTCTGCTTTACTTATTGTCAAGTGCTGCAGGGTTATCATTAATGTCTGTGGAGGAAAAGAATCTTCCTTTCTTGCCATTACTTTTTGTTACCTGAATTTTCTGCTTAATTTGTTTTCCTAAACTCAGGTAGCAGCACTCAGTGAACTTTGGCTAAACTTCCAAAGCTAAGCAAGCTCAGACCTGTTAGGACATGGCTGAATGACTTCCAGGGCAATCCAGAGGTATCAGTTAGATAGGCAAGAATATCACAAGTAAAATAGCAACATTGATCGGTATCATTGTCAAAATATCTACATGGACAAGACTTGAAGTCTTGAATTGAAGTCAAGCTTAACTCAAGGGTTTTTTTTCTTTAGTAAATATTGGGTGACTATGAAAGACATAATTCTTTCATATGCACCTGAACTTGGCAGTTGGCATACTGTTATTTAAAAGAAGGTGTGGACATGTCATTTTGCTTGCTTTTGAATGGCTTCATTTCACTTGTACCTTTCATTGTTACTCAACTTTGCAGTCAAGGGAAGAGTATTAGGTGGATTCCAGGGGAATGGGAAGAGCTCAGAGTGCCAAAGAAAATTGACCCCAAAATGTATCTTTTCCCCTTAAAACCTTACGTATTCACCATGTTAAATTTTCTATTTTTACTCAATCCCACTGGAGCAGGAACATTCTGGGAAAACCATTTTTCCTTCATATTTAAGGATTGCTGGAAAATTGGAACGAGCTACAAACTGAAATTAGTATGACTAACACATCTAAATAAAACCATGATTTGGAATGTTACCTATTCCAGCAAAACAGCCAATACCTTATATCATCTTCATTTGCAAACATAATCACAGCACGAGCATTTGGAGTCTCCATCAAGCGCTTGATAATCTTCTCAAATTCTCCTGTCCTGGGTTCACGGGGGATTTTTAGTGACTGAGCAATGCAGACACCACCTGGAGAAAAGGGGATAATAAAAGAAAAGCTGTTAAATATAGGGTGGTTTGTTTGTTTTTACAATCATTATGCCCAGTTTACAGTGAAAATAGAAATCTGGCTTTAAGAGAAGACTACCAAACCAAAAAGAGGTTAAAATGTAACTTTGGAAAAGCAATACTAGTGCACAATGCTTCAATTTTTTGTTCATTGCATCTAATTTCTATTCTATCTAATTTCATTATTTATTGTATAGTGCTCAACAGTATGAATTATTAAAACAATATAGCAGGAATACATTTTATGGGAAAAATATTTTGGTAGATACAATAAAGTGACAAATCTGCATGCTTCTTCTGAAATCTATAGCCAGGCCCTACTACAACTGTTAATCACCACATTATTAATTCAGTTGTATTCATTATTCAACCATATTATTAAAGTTTTGTATAGTCATCAATAAAAGCTTTACAGTAGTTACAATAGATATACCATAAGAACAATCAAATCCATCCAAGGTTTAAAAATCCCAGTCTTCTATGCAACTTCTTGATTCCCTGCTATCCCAACCTCCATTATCTTGATGGTACCATGGAACAGAGGAATATGTTGATTATTCCTCGAACCTCAAACAGGATCGCCCCATCATAAAATAATGTTAATTTTAATTATAAAGCTAAATTTTAGAGAAAATATGTGTGTTTATGCTGGCTGCAGGTGTTCTGATCAAGGCTTCCCGAGACCATAATTAAGCGCACGCTTAGTTAAAACATGTCTTGTTCTATTTCAATGCTGGGAATTTTTTTCATTCCCAGCCAGGAATGAGTTGCAAACAGTCCCTTCGAGATAAGCACCCACCTTTCTTTCCTTGAAATTGCTGCCAACAACTAGAGTGCCAAGTGAATTATAAAAAAACCAACCAAAGTACAAAGTCCACACAGAGCTTCAAGGATTAATCCAAACAGAATGAATGACTTTGTTTCCTCCAAAGATTTTGTCACCTTTGCCTGTCCTTTATACCGTATGGGAGGGGCAATCCTCTCCAAGCCTTAGTCCCAAGTTGCCCCTTTTGTCTCAGCTGCTCTTGCCTTCTTGCAGCTCTGTGCACACATGTATTGGGAACAAGCTCCCCTTGTTCCTCTGCCTTGCTGCTGCCAGATTCCAGAGGCTCCAGGGTCAGCACCCCACTCTCAAATGGTCCTGGCCCCATCTCTGCATTGGATACAGGACCCTCATCTGAGTCTTCTCCAGATTCCCTGACTGGTCCCCATTCTTCCCCACTGTCCAATTCTGCTGCCGTCTGCACAGGTGAGACCCCCACAACAGCAAGACCCAGAGATAGTATAGTGGTAACCCTACCTAACTAAGTCTTTCTTTAGAAAAAAAAATTGCCCTAAGATTCAAAGACTGATGAAGCATTGATTCCACTGGATGTTTTCAGTTTTGACTCCTCCATCCCTACCTCCCAATACTGGATTAGAATAAAAAATGACATTTAGAAAGGTTGCGCCCTTCTTTAGAACTTAATGTGTAAAGATCATTTTAAAATATTCAGCTTAGCTTAAAAGAAATAGCTTAACAAAATACCTTGTGTAGCACAGCCAGTTTTAAAGTTACTAAGTAGTACACTTATATTAGCATGCTGTATGTAACTCAACATTCCTGCAGAGAATTTTAACACATTTTAAATGGCTGAAGCAATACATTATCATGCTAAAACCAAAGTTGTGCAGCTAAGTCAAGCATGGGAAAGAGTTACAATGATTTCACTTACAACCTTAGCTGGCATCAGTTGAAGTATGACAAAATGAAAGAAAAGGAACAATAATATTGACATTTTACATGCCAATATAAGAGAGAGACACACACAGAGAGAGAAGAGGCAGCGACAGAGAGAGACAGAGAGAAACAGAAACAGAGACAGAGACAGAGAGACAGACAGACAGACAGACACTACAGATAGATATGCACAGGAAGAGAAGGAAGAGAGAGAGTATGTTTCATGGTCTACTTCATAAAATAATTTTTCCACCCCTACTTATTCTATCATCTTCACCAATCATTCTTGTCATTCTTCCATTGTGGATATTTTAAAGTATTTTCATTTTTGTGCATATTATAATCTCATAGTAATTATCATATATAAAATAAAACTATATTAGTAATGCATTTGCTCCACTTTAGTCTGTGCCATGCCCAAGCATTTAATATCCAATGTTCATCTGGATTCTGTTTGAATCTGTTATTGTTGCAGTCTTTTCCATGTCTTGAAGAATTGCAGATGCTTTGGTTTTCATGACGTCATACATTTGAAAATGAATATACTTAAATAATATTTAATAACTTGTTCCTTTGTGACATCCCGCCAAACACGTAAACAGATTAGCTTTTTCTAGAGGAATGGAGCCTCAAATTGTCTATATTTGTTTTGGGAAAATGTGAAACAGATGTACTGTTACTCTTTTCATTATCAAATCATTAAGCCTCAGAAAAAATATTAAGCTTTCAATAATCCTTAAAATTATATATGAATAAAAAAGAAAAGCAATTCTTAAGAGCAATGATGAAGGAAGGATAGAAAGTTATCTCATTTAGAATTTTTAAGTTACAACTAAAGATGCTTTGATTTTTAAGAAACCCATTCCCTTTGCCTTTAATAGACTCAGAAAAGTTGCAAATACTTATCTATTATACATCCTGAATTCTGTGGAACTTTGGGAATAAGGAGAATAATGATTGGCAGACTGGGTACCATACCAAAAAGCCTTGGATCATGCTTAGAAAATGTGTGCATTGACAAAATTTCCACCTGTCAATTGAAAAATATCATATTGCTTGAATCTGCACATATATGCTAATATATTATGACATCCTAGGTTCTTAGGAATAGCTTGATGTGAATGAAGGCCAACACGAGGTAAAGAACTGTCAGCTGTGTTTTCATGTGATTGTGTATATAACAACATAGTAATCATAATCATAATTTTAATATCCTACACAGAGCCTGAATAGTTGTTTTCTTAGATTTTAATGTCATAAGAGAAACATCACTACCACAAGAGAAACACTACACCACAACTGAACTGAGCATTTTATCATGCTTGTGATGAAGAACACCAGTAGGAATAAATAAAAATGCAGTTTAGACTTCCTACTACATTCACAATAAAATCAGCACACCAATGTTTGACAAGCAAAGCAATTAGTTTGTTTCTTTGTCTGTATGTTTCCTCCATCCACCCACTCCCTCTGTATTTGGATTTATAGGAGGTAGTCAAAAGCAGAGAAAATACTGAACTTAAACAGACATACAGACCTAATCCATATCATTTTTGTGTTGTAATAGGAACACAATACTATAATGAGGTATGGATACTTAAGAAGTTTTTGACAAGCCATTGAGAATTGGACAAGTTGGCCTCTGTCAGCTTCAGTCACCTAGCTCTGTCTTATTTGTCTGTAGGTAAAATATTGAGAGAAGATAACAGATAACAGATAATCAGAGTTGGAAGGTCATCTAGTCCAACCCCCCGCCCAATCAGGAGACCCTACACCATTTTTGACAAATGGCAGTCCAATCTCTTCTTGAAAGTCTCAAGTGATGGCGCTCCCACAACTTCCGAGGGCAAGATGTTCCATTGGTTGATTGTTCTCACTGTCAGAAAGTTTCTCCTTATTTCCAGGTTAAATCTCTCCTTGTTCAGTTTCCATCCATTAGTCCTTGTCTGGCCTACAGGCGCTTTAGAAAATAGCGAAAGTATAATTCTGTTTGGGTATCAGACGGTCATAGGATACTCGCCTGAATAAATGAAGAGGCTACACATGCTCCTATTTCTAAGCAATGTAGTAGCATAGCCTGCAAAGATTTCTACTTATTTTCATCTGAACAAAAGCAGAGTCTAGATGACTAGAAAGTAGTGCACATTTCAGATGGAGGTTTTGCTTCAATGAAAGTTTGAGTGAAACATCCATTGAAACTGCTTTATAAAGCAACCCGGACCCCTCACTTTTATGGATAAAGTGAAGCAGCTTTGCATATCTGGTCTCTTACCTCCTCTGAAGCTTTCCCTGGCACTTTCAATACCAGAAAATGTTTCTGCTACAAACTCCTCATATGCAGGGATTGCATTCATCTCTTCTAGTCAGGTATTGGAAGGAACAGAAGAGGCTTCCTCTCATGATCAACAGTTATGCAGCAGCAGCAGCATTTTGAGGCTTTTACAAGTGTCAAAAAGAGAGTACATAGAGGTTGCAAGACAATGAAAAGTGTTTTGTGGAGATAAGAGCTGTAGTGGCGCAGTGGTTACAATGCAGCACTGCAGGCTACTTCTGCTGACTGCCGGTTGTCTGCAATTTGGCAGTTCATATCTCACCAGATTCAAGTCTGACTCAGCCTTCCATCTTTCCGAGATCAGTAAAATGAGTACCTAGACTGTTGGGGGCAACATGCTGACTCTGTAAACTGTTTAGAGAGGACTATAAAAGCACTGTGAAGCGGTATATAAGTCTATGTGCTATTGGTATAAATTGGAAGCATAGGAACTTTTGATGATCACACAGGAAGTTAAAGGAGTAAGTGTATATCATCCTTCACTCTAATCTTAGAGTACTTAGCTATGTCATAATGTCCAATGAGGGCTTGTAACATTTATTTATAGGCAGCATTTCTGAATCTATTCTTATACTGAAGCTACTTTCTGCACAACCATGTTGATTCTCAGTTCTGCTATTATGAATTTTATCTCTGTCACAAGTTCAGAAGACAGTATTAGTATTATACATTTCAAGAACAGTACTATATTTCTATTCATTTGCCTTACATTTCAAGAACAATACTATATTTCTATTCATTTGCCTTACAGGTTGTGCTAAGAGTTATGCTGCATTTTCCATGTGAGGTTTTGTGCATTATAGATATATTTTAATGCCTGAAGCAAAGACAAGATGCTTTTCCCCATAGAAAAGCTGACCAAAAATGACAACTAAATCTAATTTCACCATAGGAAAGTGTTACCCGGAG